ACATATTCTACGAAGATCTTTATCGGTCAAACCGCATAACAACATATGTTGTTCCCTTTGTCATCGGTATGTTACTTGCCCGAGATTTGATTGTCGGTATCTCAATACCTAGTTCAATCTCGTTACCGGCAAGTCTCTTTACTCGTTATGTAATGCATCATCCCGTAACTAACTCATTAGTCACATTGCTTGCAAGACTTATAGTGATGTGCATTACTGAGAGGGCCCAGAGATACCTCTCCGACAATCGGAGTGACAAATCCTAATCACGAAATACGCCAACTCAACATGTACCTTCGGAGACACCTGTAGAGCTCCTTTATAATCACCCAGTTACATTGTGACGTTTGGTAGCACACAAAGTGTTCCTCCGATAAATGGGAGTTGCATAATCTAATAGTCATAGGAACATGTATAAGTCATGAAGAAAGCTATAGCAACATACTAAACGATCAAGTGCTAAGCTAACGGAATGGGTCAAGTCAATCACATCATTCTTCTAATGATGTGATCCCGTCAATCAAATGACAACTCATGTCTATGGTTAGCAAACATAACCATCTTTGATTAACGATCTAGTCAAGTGGAGGCATACTAGTTACACTATGTTTGTCTATGTATTCACACATGTATTATGTTTCCGGTTAATACAATTCTAGCATGAATAATAAACATTTATCATGATATAAGGAAATAAAAAATAACTTTATTATTGCCTCTAGGGCATATTTCCTTCAACAAAGATATCAACTCATGCATATAAGAATTCAGAGAAGAACCAAATAATATTCATAGATAATCTTGTTCATAAATCCACAATTCATCGGATCTTGGCAAACACACCGCAAAAGAGTATTACATCGAATAGATCTCCAAGAACATTGAGGAGAACTTTGTATTGAGAATCAAATAGAGATAAGAAGCCATCTAGCTAATAACTATGGACCCGAAGGTCTGTGGTAAAATACTCACGCTTCATCAGAGAGGCAATGGTGTTGATGTAGAAGCCCCTCTATGATCGATTCCCCCTCCGGCAGATCACCGGAAAAGGCCCCAAGATGGGATCTCACGGGTACATAAGGTTGCGGCAGTGGAAAAGTGGTTTCGTGGCTCCCCCTGATGTTTTTAGGGTATAAGAGTATATATAGGCAAAAGAAGTACGCCGGTGGAGCTACGAGGGGCCCACGAGGGTGGGGGGCGCCCTCCTGCCTCGTGGATGCCTCGTGGCGTCTCTGACTTCAACTCCAAGTCTCCTGGTTTGCTTTTGGTCCAAGAAAGATCATCACGAAGGTTTCATTCCGTTTGGACTCCATTTGGCATTCCTTTTCTGCAAAACTCTAAAATAGGCAAAAAACAGAAACTGGCACTGGGCCTCCGGTTAATAGATTAGTCCCCCAAAAAATATAAAAGAGCATATTAAAGCCCATTAAACATCCAAAACTGATAATATAATAGTATGGAACAATCAAAAAATATATATACGTTGGAGTCGTATCAATACGTTGGAGACATATCACTCTTCTGTGTGATTTCCTCTACGGTCATGGTGGATGGGGAAATAGTCATTGGAAGTGGATATCATGCCGGATTTGAGATCCTACTCCTTGTCCCAGAGCTGGAAATTTGCACTACTCGGTTTTCTACACCGGCCACCACCATGGTGGTGGAGGCATCAAGGAGAACAAGTGGATCACCAGGATCTGGCATTCGGAGAGAAGCTCATCATCGTTGAAATTGTTGTCGAAAACTCTGTTGGCCGAAGGCGGCCTCATGGAGGGGACGTCTCTGCACTGCGAGCTCATCTTCTTCATCCCGGCTTGGAAGACTATGTGAAGGCAATGTTGCAACGGTTTGGAGTCCACCCTCTTCTCTTTAGTTATTGGTTGTTGGAGCTGGCGGATGCCTGCCGCACAGGCCCAACCTCCATGCAGAAACAAGGGATTGATTTGTAATTTTATGTCTTTGGAGTCCATAGGTTTGTATTGTCATTTATATTTACTAGATGACTCATTACGTCAATTGGCACAGAGACCAGCTGCAACCACGGCCTTATGTGAAAACTACACATCACGGGCATATAGGAAAGTTGCACATTGACTACTATATAGTTGCACATCAATTGCTAGATACTTGCACCCAATAGCGAAATTGCAGGGGAGCACACGATGACCACCTTCACCGGAATCTCCCCCCACTCATTTGCATCGGGATCCCAACCACTATATTAGTCATGATGTATTCCACGATTCACACATCATGTATGTCCCTCTAAACATTTTCGTACAAATCTCAACAGCTACAGTGACCTGACCAGTGGCAGAGAAGTAGACCCATCGTCTCCAACGACCACTCCCCAACCACCCATCAAAACTTAAATGTGACCCGTTGTTCCTATTTGTAAAAGTGGGGAAAATATATTATTTCATCCTAAAACTCGCCTTAAAGTAAACGTTTGGTTTCATGATTGTTACGATTTCCAATTAATAAAATGTATTTTCAAGGTGGTACTAATTCCTAAGTTTCATGTCACAAATTCCATAGTATCATTTATTTCTAGGAAAACCAAGATTTTATGCTACTTAGTTAAAAAAATAGAGATAATTATAATGATATTTTATGTTATTTTTCATCTCTGATGAAAAACCAAGAACTTCGCGATAATAATGCCAGGAAATCTTATTATATTAATCTCTAATTTATCCTCTTCTAAAATAACTGAGAATCTGATGATACTAACTTTGGAGACTAAAGACATAAAATTATAATTAATCATCATAGTATTATCAATAGAGTAAATGCCTGACACGCACGGGAGACAATCCAACCTGTTTGGCAATCAATGCTTGACATGGGACCATACAGTTAAATCACTGCATGCATGGTCAAAATGAGTATGCATTCATAGTACCTATTATTGTTGAAGATATGGTATTATGGACATATTTATGGTTTGTATTAGTTAATCTGTATTATCAACCATTCAACCTTGATCATCTAATTTTATATGTACACTTAATCAGACGTTATTTGCACCAAGTCTTTGTGGCTGCATCTTTTATTTGCACCAAGTCTTTGTAGCTGCATCTTTTATTTTACCTTTTCACTGTAAGTTGCCTGGCAAGTTCACATTCCTTTATTTTCAATCAACTCTCCGTTGAAACTTGCACCACTTTGGCAATCACCGCGTCAATTAAATGCATTGTCCAGAAAATTGAATCATATGGACAGCTCTTTACTATTGGCATATACGGCTGGTTGTAATGGGAGTATCATATCTAATATCATGCATGCCAACTAGGCAAATTTGATGAGGTGGTATAGAATTAAATGAAGTAAGAGAGGGTTGAGTATCATATAATGATATCGTATCATAATAAATGCTACACTAGTATGTGTCATGCATGCCAATAAGTAAAGTTATATATGATACTATCATATGATACTATGCATTAGGGAGGTAGTATCATACACTAGTATCATATGCATGATACTAACTTATGATACTACCCATTACAACCAGCCTACGTAAAGCTTTGTATTGTGAAATTGTTACCAGTTTAATGAAAAGTTGCACTAATCTCCAAACAAACGATGAGTGGCTTAGATTCTGGTGGGTGTCGTCGTCGTGTGCTCTTCGTCTGCATCCCACTTAATAGGGCTAAATTACACACAAAATTCATCGAAACATACTCAATGGGATATATTTTCGAAGAGCACGCCGCGAGAATTCCAGCTATGAAAATGAATTTTAATTTCGGTTTTCAATTCAGAAGTTATGGCTTTAAAAAATAAAAATATGAAATAAATGTATTTACACTTGTTCAATGGATTACTTTTCCTAATATGAATTAGTGGACCAACACTTTTCAAATCTGGTCAGACACTCGAGATTACTGCGAGCCAATAAGCACTCACTAGACGCATCCGTTTAGAAAAATTAAAATCCAAATTAAATATGTTCGCACCTATTCACATGGATACTTTTTCTATTACTAGCAAGCCGACCGCCACTCGCTAGACGCATCTTTACAAAAATGAAGCATGTTCACACGTATTCATGTGGATACTTTTCCTACTCCCTTCTTCAATGTATATAGAGCCTAATGCGTTTTTTGAGACTAAATTTGACCGCATGTTAGAGTAATAATGTATGACATGCAAGTTACACAAAGCACACCATCAAATTCGTATGTGAAAGGAGCTTGTAATGATATAATTTGCACACTGTATATCTTATATATTATTAATCTTATCAATAGTCAAAGACAACCCCAAAAAATATATTCGGGCCTATATATATGAAAGGAGGAAGTAGTATGAACTAGGAGGGACCAACACCCAACCACTCCGGATTACTAGAGAGCCAGCGGCCACTCACTATACGCATCTTTTAAAAAAATGAAATATAAATTAAATGCGTTCACACCTATTTGTATGGATATTTTTCCTAATATAAATTAAAGGGACCGACACTTTTTAAATCTGAGCAATCATTCCGGATTACTAGTAAGCCAACGGTCACTCGCTAAACGCATCCTTTTTGAACAATGCTATAAATCCCTATCCTCATTCGGGACCTTCCAGTGTTCAAACTATAAAAGTAAAGATAGAAATAGAAAATCGAGTGGTCGGTCGAATATTAAAAGACCACACAATTAGTAGTGCAATTAATGAACAATAACACAAACACGCTACTCCATGCCATGAATGGCCATTAACATCTCAAGAACCATCACACCCTCACCGACTACTTTTGCAGGAAAGTACACTGTCTTAACTGTAGTACTAGTAGACAACTAGACATCGGAGCAAGGATAAAAATACAACTGACATTTCTTAACCACGAAAGTAAACCGTCTGAACCAGTAGTCGTCACGAAGGATCCAATCCGATACAACTGACAGCAGTATTGTTTATGCAGCAAAGTAAGCCATCGTCGACCATGAATGATTTAGATTGTTGAGATCCGATGGATGCCTTGCCTTGGCGTGCAACCCTGCTCACTCGCGTGGCTGGTTGGCCATGGGCGGGATGCTCTGCTCGTTCCGGAAGTAGTTGGTGGGATCCGCGGCGGCCTTCACCTTGGCGAGCCTCTCGTAGTTGCCGAGGAAGTAGCGCTGGCCCCAGAACCTGGCGTTCTCGGCGGCGCCGAAGTCGTCCTCCAGCGCGTTCTGCCCGATGTCCAGGTCCCGGAAGTTGACGTACGCCTCCCGCGGGTGCTTCGTCACGTGGTGCGCCATGAACCCGTAGAAGCCGTCCAGCCAGCTCGTCGCCGCCGGCCCGCCATCGGCGCTCATCCAGTACGCGATGTACTGTATCACGTACAGCACCCCCCGCCGGTGCGGGTACGGGGTGGCGTCCTCGGGCACGCCGCACATGAACCCGCCGTGGGGCTCCAGCACGATCACCCCGGCGCCCTTCATCGTGAACCAGCTGGCGTAGATCTCCTTCCACACCGCCTTGGGGATGGCGTGCCGGACGTAGTCCGACTTGCCCTTGCTGAAGGTGGTCGGGCTGGCCGGCCTCGGCAGCAGCACGTCCTCCACCGGCTTGCTGTTGGTGAAGCTGAAGAAGGACAGCGCCGCGGACTGCAGCCAGGTCATGGGCTGGCAGTCGGCGCTCGTCATGTTCAGCTCCGGGAAGCGGTCGCGCATCGTGGAGGCCAGCGACCCGCACTCGCCGAGGTACAGCGCCCGGAACACGGCCTGCTGCCCCGTCACCATCACCGTTATCGTGAGGTCGCTGGGGAGCGCCGGCGCCACGTCCTGCCATTTGGTGAGGATGTCGATGGCGCCCTGCTCCAGCGTCTTGGCGATGTTGAACACCGTCACCGTGGCCGGGACCGGCACGAGCTGCACCTTCCACGAGAGCACCACGCCGAAGTTCCCGCCGCCGCCGCCGCGGATGGCCCAGAAGAGGTCCTCCCCCATGCCGGACCTGTCGAGGAGCTCCCCGTTGGCGTTCACCAGCTTGGCGTCCACCACCCTGTCGATGGAGAGCCCGTACTTGCGCATCATCATGCCGATGCCGCCGCCGCTGAAATGGCCGCCCACGCCGATGGTGGGGCACTCGCCGGACGGGAACGCGAGGCGGGGGTTGTTCTTGGCGACGGCGTAGTAGAGCTCCCCGATGGTGGCGCCGGACTCGACCCACGCCGTGGACGCCGCCTCGTCGACGGTGACGGCTCGGAGGCCGGCGAGGTCGAGCAGGCCGAACACCTCCTGCCGCGCCGACCGGTACGACAGGCCCTCGTAGTCGTGGCCGCCGCTGCGCACGCGGAGGCGCACGCCGTGGCCGCGGCCGCACCGGATGGCGGCCTGCACGTGCGACGCGTCGGTGGGCGTCACGATGCACAGCGGCTTTGCCGTGGTGTTGACGAACTTGGCGTTCTTGATGTAGTTGACCAGCACGCCGGCGAAGTTGCTGGAGCACTGCGTGTACACCAGCTCGCCGGGGATCTTGTCCCTCACGCACTGGAGGAAGTCGTCGGAGGAGGCCATGGCCAGGTGGACCGAGAGGAAGCTGGCGAGAAACGCGAGCGCCAGGCCTCTGCCTCTGAGCGTAGCCATCTTTTGCTTCTTCTCTGGCAGCTAAGAGAGCAGTGGTGTGTGTGTGCCTGAACCGACTGGAGCTGGCCCCTTATATACTGCTCTGCTCGAACACTAGTACAGTAGGGTTACTATATTTTCCACTGGCTCACTGCGTGTACAAGGAGCTTCGGATGGTTTTGCGTGCACGCCAGGTGACGCGTCGATTCTGGTTAGTTTCTAATCTTAACATGATATGGCGCGCACGTTAAACATCTTAGGAACGGAACCGCAGCCGATTGATTGGCATGCTTAAGCTTGAGCTTCACTCCGGGACGAGCTTGCGGTTGGCGTCGACGCCTCAACTGACTGAACAACGCTTTTGGCGATTGATTTCATTTCGTTTCATGGCCACGCGACGGCGCGTGCAAGTTCACAACGACTAAACTGGTTTGCTTTGGGCGATCCTCAAGCATACTCCAGTTCATACACGCACGCTTTTGACGGTGACACATGCTAGTACATGCTACATGGTACATGCAGATATCAATAATGACGTTTGTTCGAGTTGGATAATGAGGAAATTGGGTGACAGAATTTTGGTTGAAGCAAACGGACGCAAATGAATAAAGTCGCGCACTACTTGGCTGGCTAGGGAAGGCTGCACGAACAAACTATGTAAAACTTTGGTTCCAGGTACCGCCAGAGTGCATTAGGTCTGGCGTAGGCACAACAAATAAAGATGACGACGGGCCATCAAAGCTCAGGCCGTGAATAGGACTCGAGAGTGCAGATTTTGGTTTCCGTCGATTCTAGCAGAAAGTACACCATCGCCTCCTAATTACCCGAAAGCTCCAAGATATTTAATTAAGGCCAGCTGTTTGTTTTACTGGGAACTTCTGGCATTTTCATGTTGGCAGCAATCAAGGACCTACTTAATTACACGGGTAAATAGAACCCTTGCAAGGACTGGCATACAGTTTATGACAATGTCCTTCCTCCACCGAAATTGCTGTGCAGGTGACAGTACACACACGACATGCAGCCAACACTTATATCAAACGGTGGAGCAGCGCTGCTGCGTGCATCACATGGCGTGAACTTCAGCATCGTTCAGAAAATCGTCTCTGTATTGTCGTGTGTATAGCAGGGTTCTTCCTCTCTCCACACTATCTTCGTCCATGTTTAATAGTCGCTTCCCAGGTTGAATGGAAGGAAACTAATGAAATATAAGTTTCCGTCGAAGCAAAAGTGAACATAATATCATTGGAAACTACATTCAAATACGAATCCGCTAATATAATTTTTATGATATGCATTAATATTTTGCTAGTTAAATGTGTGGTCAAAACTTGACCCAAAATCTGAGGGGACTAATAAACTCGGATTGAGGTAATATCTATCATGGCCTTAATAAACCTGTTTTTCGAGCGATATGGACCGAGGTAGATCATACATCAGCTCAAAGATGTCATATCAAGCTAATATACGTTACTCGTATGTTCGATCATACAAACCAGAAACATATCAGAAGATTCAACCCTTAAATTCTTTCAACTCTCTAGCCACATTAGAAATATGATTCATCTCTGCAAACTCTGAGTCCATATTGTGGTAAAAATAGATAAAATTTTCTGTCGGTGTGGCCATCATATCAGAATGATAATGGTTGGAACTGATAAGAAGATCATTCGGAGTGCCATGTTTTCCCTAAGCTGGGGCGTGGGCAGGTGCCCCCCGCCCCTACCACTCCCTTGGCGGACGCGCTGCGCGCCGGAGGAGGTACCGGATCGGGAGGGGGGCGCGGGCAGGTGGCCTTCACCCCGACCTTTCCCTTGCCGTCCCTGGAGGGCGCAGCCCCTGCTTGGGCCCCGCGCGGTGGTCTTGGACCGAGATCGCCGGGTGCGCCGAGCCATGTGGCGGTGATGGCTGGGGGAGCTTCGCCGGTTCTGTCGACGACGCAGGGCAGCTCTCCGGCTGGTTCAACTCAATTGAGCCCTATTGGGGGTCGGGCAGGAGGCCCTACCCCGAACGGGGCCATGCGGGACAACATCATCGCTTTTGGAGGGATTCCGGATCCTGTATCCGAAGGTTGACGGATGAGCTGTCGTCTCCAGGATCAGCCAAATGTTGATGACATGCAGCTACGGTGCGCCATGCGGGTGACCAAGCTTCGTAATATTGAGGTCACTACTGATATGTTAGTCAACACTTCCAATTCTATCTTGCATTTTTCTAATAATGAGATTATTCATAATGCAAATCAGTTGGGAGTATCTCTGCGTGGTAATGATTTTGAAGTTTCTAAGTCCATTAATGATATCTTGGATCTTGAAGCGGAGCGCGCTTTAGAGATGATTAGAACCTAGCGGCTGTCAAACCTATGAACGATTCAGATGTAGATGCTTTGGGGGTCAATGTGCTTGATAGCTTTTGTGCAAATCTGGCACCCTTTCTTCCTGAGATTGAGGAGGATGAATATTCTACTTCCCCAAGGGACTCCATTCTTGCAGATTCTCAGGTGGCTACGTCCACTGAGCTCAGTTGTGAGGACCGGATAGAGGACCAAAACAAGCCTAAACGCAAGTGGAATCAAAGGATTTATCCGGCTTCGGCCGTGCGTAGAAGTGCTAGTATCCGAACCACTAAAAAAATTCATGATGAAATATGAAAGGAATTTTTTGGAATAGCAGAGGTCTTGAGGACTTGGCTAAAAGAAGGTTTCTAGTGGATGCTTCTACAGATCACAAATTGGATTTTATTGCCATGTCCGAAACTAGAGGGGGCAATTTCACCCCCCAGTTCCTTAGTACTCTTTTCGGGAGGGGTTGATTTCGATTGGTATTGCCTACCTCCAAGAGGAAGATCCGGTGGGATTTTACTTGGGGTTAAATGCGATTCGTTGGAAGTTCAGAATGTTGTAATGGGAGATTTTTGCGGTTAAGTTTCGGGTACGGTCGAAGGCCGATGGGTTTAATTGGGCTTTGGTGGCGGTGTATGGTGCCGCGCAGCCTGAACTCAAACCGAACTTTTTGGTGGATTTAGTCTGTATTTGCGGTAACGAGCAGCTCCCAATCCTGATTGGGGGTGATTTTAACATTATCCGTAGACGGGAGGAAAAAACAATGATAACTTTAACGGCAGATGGTTGTTTATGTTTAATACAATTATTGAAAGTTTAGACCTTCGAGAGATTGAGGTTTCTGGTAGAAAGTTCACATGGGCCAATACATTACCAATCCCAACGTTTGAGAAGCTGGACCGGGTCCTAGCAAGTGTCGAATGGGAGCAAACATGTGGGGAACAAGAGTACGTTTTCTTTCGAATCAACACGGTTTGAAAGAGAAGGGTTCCTGGATCTAATAGCAAGAGAATGGGCTAAAGATTCAAGAGGGAGAACGAATGTTGAGAGATGGCAGAATAAGATTAGGCATTTAAGGCAGTTCTTGCGGGGTTGGGCCAAACACCTGAGTGGGATATATAAGGCTGAGAAGGAAAGGCTCCTTTTACTTGTTCAATCCCTAGATTTAAAAGTTGAGTCCTCCATTTTAGATACCAGAGAGCTGGAAACTAAAGTGGAGGCGGAATTAAGACTGAAAGAACTACTTCGTGAGGAGGAATTGAAGTGGGCTCTGCGAGCTAAAGTTCGCAAAATCATCCAAGGGGATGATAACACACAATTCTTCCACATGATTGCGAATGGCAAGCATCAAAAGAAGAGAATCTTTCAGCTTGAGCAAGATGAGAGGACGATTTTAGGGCAGGAGAACCTAAATGTATATATCACCAATTACTATAAGCAGCTGTTTGGGCCCCCCGAGGATAATTTCGTATCCTTGGATGAGTCGAGGGTTGAGGATGTTCCTCGGCTCGCAGCAGATGAGAACGATATTTTGACAGCCCTCTTTTTCGGAGAAAGAGGTGTTTGAAGCAATTTCCCAAATGAAAAATAATAAAGCTCCAGGACCGGATGGTTTATAAAAAGTGTTGGCACACCATTAAGGGGGACTTGCTCCCGATGTTCCAGGATCTTTTCTTGGGACAGTTACAGCTATTTTACTTGAACTTCGGTACAATTACTTTTCTTCCTAAGAAAACAGAGGCTGTGAGGATTGAGCAATTTAGGTCGATCTATCTTCTTAATGTTAGCCTTAAAATCTTCACCAAAGTTGGGACTAGTAGGCTTACGCAGATTGCGCATTTTGTGGTGCAGCCGTCTCAATCTGCTTTCATGCCGGATAGAAACATCCTAGAAGGGGTTGTGGTTCTGCATGAAACGCTCCATGAAATCCACACGAAAAAACTAGATGAGGTGGTTTTCAAAGTGGATTTTGAGAAAGCGCACGACAAGGTAAAATGGCCTTTTCTTCAGCAGGCTTTGCGTATGAAAGGATTCGATCAGGCCTGGAGAGACCAGGTAGATTCTTTCACGCAAAAAGGGAGTGTTGGAATCAGGGTAAATGATGACATAGGTCATTATTTCCAGACACACAAGGGTCTGATACAAGGAGATCCAATGTCGCTGATTCTGTTCAACATAGTCATTAACATGTTGACAATCCTAATAGGAAGGGCTAAGGATGATGGCCAGGTAGGTGGCCTCGTTCCACATTTAGTTGACGGGGGAGTGTCTATCCTACAGTATGCTGATGATACTATCATCTTTATGGAGCATGATTTTGCTAAAGCTAGAAACATGAAGCTGGTATTGTGTTTGTTGGAACAATTATCGGGGTTAAAGATTAACTTCCACAAAAGTGAATTGTTCTGCTTTGGAAGAGCTAAAGAAGAACAACAAGCTTACAAGGAATTGTTCGGGTGCGAATTGCGGTCTTTACCCTTCACGTATTTGGGTATACCAATCCACCATCGCAAGTTTTCAAACAAGGAGTGGAAGAGCATTGAAGATCGATTTAAAAAAACTGAGCTGCTGGAAGGACAAGCTTATGTCATACGGAGGACGATTGATTCTG